GAAATGAACATTTTTTATTTAGTTGTTACTGGCTTTGAACTAGCTTTCAGTAACGGCATACGAGTACTCTCAGATCTGTACGCTATGTTTTTTTGTCTTTTGTGTTTTTGTTAGTTGTTTTTGTGCTTTGTATCGATCTGATGAGGTAAAGTCTTTTCAACGGATTTTTATAATTTGATCTTATTTTGTGGTGTTACACCACTGTCCCAGGTTAGAGGGAGGGTTGGGCGCCCACAAACATGTTTAACTCTGCCATATTTTAGATGTGCCTGTCCAAATTCAGGAGCCTGTAATTGAGTGGTTGTCTTTTGTTGCGGTTTATAATATTTGTTTTTTGTTTATTAATTGTTTTTTTTTTTTTACATAAATCAGGCCATTAGATTTCTCGTTTAACTGTTTTACATTTGTTATTTCTGGCCCTTTTGTAGCTTGCTTTGTGGTATGGGTTTTGCTCATTGTTGAAGATCTTACGGTGACCTATAGTTGCTTAATTCTATGTCATTTTGTCTCTGGTTGAAAGTTGTCTCATTAGAAATCATATCGCATCTTCTTATCTTTATATCATGTGTACACTCAGAAAGAACGAATATTTATGTAAATCTGCGATCTTTTAAAGTTTGGTAGAATTTCAACAGTTAGACATCGGATTCACAGTATGAACTTTTTGCAAGTTAGATTGACCCGGTAGAAATTGAAGTAAACAAATTCGTACCACTTTTATTTAAACCATGGGAGACTAATTCTATAAAAGATAGAGAATACAGTTTACATGAACCATCCTGATAAAACAGTTTTTTGGACCATGATTGCAGACCTTCATGATTTCTCTCTTCTGTCAATTAATAACTCGCCAAATATTTAATGAGCCATTTTAAAATTCTTTGATCGATAAATCCGGGTATCAATGTGTTTGGAGGGTGTTAATTTTGAAGATACAAAATTTAAGGTGGATCGGGTTTCTTCTGCCAGCTTAGATTGTAAAATACTAGAAAACAATCGGTCTAGATTTCTAATGAAATATGCATTTAAAATGTGAAATGCAATTCATTTGTAAGACTTTTCATCTAAATGAAGATAATTTTGTGTTTTATCGTATTATTACGATAGTTTGTAAAAATTTGTACATACTGCAGCTTGGAAAAAAAATCTCCGTGACCCCACTTATTATTATAGTTGAGAAAACTTTTTCTTGAATAGTCATATGTATTGAAGCCTGTTTGTTTCTTTAACATTTTTCTAGAGACGGCCATGACTTTAAGATGCTGTATGCAGTTATGACGTCATATTTTAGCATTACGTCAAAGTCAGATGACGGCAAAAATGGCAAGGTTGTACCCTTGCAATAAACTGAAATCTTCCTGCATTTAAACCCCATGTCGAGCCACAATGTATTGCCTTATCCTACCTTGACGTAACGTGTATTGTTACAGAACAGACGATATAGGCAACTGTTGCCAAGCTTAAAAAAAGACCGTTGGCATTTGAAAGGAGTACAGAAAGCCTAAAAAAAGACCGTTGGCATTTGAAAGGAGTACAGAAAGTCTTAATATAGGCTTTACGGCATAGTAAGGGTTAAGACATGGTTCAGTCTTAAATTTGTACTCCATTAGCTTCACCCTTGTAACAGAATGTATCGCTTTATATTTTTGCATGCGAATAAGTCAAATAAACATTTTTAGAAGGATTTTATGTTATAATTTGGCATGAATTAAATCTAAAGTTGCCACTACTGTTAGAAATTTATACCCTATTTAAGAGTTTCTAAACCAAGGCTTGGTATGCTATTTACATCAAAACTGACCTATACTTGGTTTAAAATAGCTAAATATAGTACAATTTTTTCCTCTTGAAAGGTAATCTTAAGATTTTTAACAGAAAAAGGGGAAAAGTTTTAGAAACTTAACCAAAAATGAGACAGACTTTTTAAATCACTCATTGTCGCGTTTCAACAGGAACTGTTAAACTTCATAAAATCTTTATTACTGAACCAATTTAAAAAAATAAAGTACCATTTTAATCGTTACAGCTAGCAGAACACAGATAACTCTATTAAAGGTTAAACAGGGGGGGGGGATTTCATATAAAGGTAGCACTCCACAGTTAGATGTGTAGTTTCGCATTTTGGCCCCTTTGGATTTTTCAAATATGAAAATTAAAGCTAGTGTGCAATAAAATTCATTTATATAGCTGAGAATTAATATAGCATTCATAGTAGGTTTATATGAACATCAAAATTGTGTTATGTATATATAATGGGCTGTTTTCTGTATTTTCAAATCCATACCAGACATTGGTCAAGAAATTATTGTGATTTTCCCCCAACTTTTTGTAGCACGAACTTTGTGATTCAATTTTACGAAAAAATGAGGCGAAAGACATCCAATTTTTATTTGATCATTTGGTACATTAATGTCAATGGTTTCAGAAAAGGTATCACTCAAAGGGATTGAAATTCTAGTTTGAATCAAATTTTTGGGGAATATGTGACATTTTCATGCCCCTTTTTACAATATTTTATGGTAAATAAATGCAGAATGTTGCCATGGATATACAAAAAAGGAATTATATTTCACCATTTTAACTTTTGAAAATCCAATCTATGGAAGATACTGATTACATACATATGCACATGTATGACACAAACATTGGGTTTAATGTATTAGAAAGCCCGGAATAGAAGATGATTAAACATTTTGTGGTTCAATTTTAATGTTATTTCCTAACTGGAGTGCTACTCCAATAATAAGTCGTCTGACGATTTCGGCCAGTTTGACTTATTTTTCCTACAAAAAGTTTCTCTCTATCTATTAAAGTTTTCAAAATAATAAGCAATTAGAGGCTCTCAAGAGCCTGTGTCGCTCACCTGTATCTATTGTTGTTTTGGAAATCATGTAAAATAAGGTTAAAATCATAATAAATAGTATTATATACCCTAATAATGATTGAGACCAAGTTTGGTTTAATTTGGCCCAGTAGTTAAATTAAAAGCATGTCATCCCATGGTAGTTACTGAAGACCCCCTTATAGTTATTTAAATTAGTTTTCAAGTTGTGACCATTTGACATTGTTTTTTTACAATTTTCCCATAGACTTCTATAGTAAACCCTATGTTCTATTTTTAGCCATGGCGGCCATGTTGGTTGGATGGCAGGGTCATCGGATACATTATTCAATCAAGATACCCTATTGAAAATTGTGGCTAAGTTTAATGCTATTTGGCCCAGTAGATTAAGTGGAGAAGATTTTTGTAAAAGATTACAAAAATTTAAGAAAAATTGTTAAAAATTGACTTTAAAGAGCAATAACTCCTTAAGGGGTCAATTGACAATCGTACTTTGCTGAACATTGTTGCTGTTTACAGTTTATCTCTATCTATAAAAATATTTAAGATAATAACCAAAAACTGCAAAATTTCCTTAAAATTACCAATTCAGGGGCAGCAACCCAACAACGGATTATCTGATTTGTCTGAAAATTTCAGGGCAGATAGATCTTAACCTGATGAACATTTTTACCCTGTCAGATTTGCTCTAATTTAGTTTCAGAGATATAAGCCAAAAACTGCATTTTACCCCTGTTCTATTTTTAGCCATGTCGGCCATGTTGGTTGGCAGGCGGGGTCATCGGACACACTTGTTAAACTAGATACCCTAATGATGATTGTGGCCAAGTTTGGATAAATTTGTCTCAGTAGTTTCAGAGGAAAACATTTTTGAAAAGGATTACAAAAATTTACGAAAAATTGTAAAAAAATTGACTCTAAAGGGCAATAACTCCTTAAGGGGTCAATTGACAATTTTGGTCATTTTGACTTATTTGTAGATCTTACTTTGCTGAACATTTAATATGTGTACAGTTTATCTGTATCTATGATAATAATGAAGATAACCAAAAACTGCAAAATTTCCTTAAAATTACCAATTCAGGGGCAGCAACCCAACAACGGGTTGTCTGATTCGTCTGAAAATTTCAGGGCAGATAGATTTAACCTGATGAACATTTTTAACCCTGTCAGATTTCTTCTAAATGCTTTAGTTTCAGAGATATAAGCCAAACACTGCATTTTAGACTTAAGTTCTATTTTTAGCCATATCGGCCATGTTGGTTGGCCGGCGGGGTCATCGGACACATTTTTAAAACTAGTTACCCTAATGATGATTGTGGCCAAGTTTGGTTAAATTTGGCCCAGTAGTTTCAGAGGAGAAGATTTTTGTAAAAGTTAACGGACGACGACGACCGACGGATGCCAAGTGATGAGAAAACAAAAATGAAAAAAATTGCTAAAATTTTACATTTAAGGACAATAACTCGTATAAAAAGTTGTCTGACAGTTTTGACATTAATGGACAGCAGGTAGATCTCAACATTTTAAGCATTTGTGCTCTGTCCGATTTTCTCAATCATAGCGGTTTTCAAGATAATAGACAAAACTTTTTCCCCCTATGTTCTATTTTTAGCCATGTCGGCCATCTTGGTTATCAGGCGGGGTCATCTGACACATCTTTAAAACTAGATACCCCAATAATTATTATGACCAAGTTTGTTAAATTTGGCCTAGCAGTTTCAGAGGAGATCTTTGTAAAAGTTAACATTCGACTGACGACTACAGGGTGTCTGCAATCTGCAGTGAAGTGAGAATTGGTTTTTTCATATGTGCGTAGTGATTTTGTGTAATGAATTGATACACAATATCTTTTATTTTCCTTCTAACTTGATCTTAGCACTCAACAAGGTTTTTCACAATTGTAATATGTTATTTTATTTTATTTGAACTCCATTGTTATATTTACCAAGAAAACTTACTCCCTGCATTTTTTGCCTACGTTTTCTTAAAAGCGAGTCAGTCAATTTCCTACCTACTTTTTAATGTTCACATAGGTTCAGCATTCAGAGAAAATCTGAAAAGTTTCCAGAAGACAGTTTTATTTGCATATTGATTGCAAAAATGGGAATGTGAGCTTAACCTTTAATTATTGGTGGCAATACATCATATTACTTACTAATTGTATATCATCACAATAAAGCTGTAATAAACAGTTGTAAACCGTCTCATTTTCTTCAAAATCTTCCTTCAGTGGTAAACATTGTACAATCACTGGGATTACCTAAAGCAAAAACAATCTAAAATCATAAAGTTGTTCCTTCTATCATAGTTTTCAAGATAATAGGCAAAAACATGCCAATAAACGTGTTTACACTTATATGCAAAATTTTCCCCCTTACTTAAAATTACACAAATTCCCGTAAAATTTGACATTACAATTTATAAAATTTGACGGCTTAGATGAAAAGTCAGAATATTATTTGGAGACAGATCTCCTTCGGGGACAAAATTCAGTTCAATACCAAAAGTGTAAATACATTTATAACTCTTATAAGGAGTTGACTGACGATTTGGGCCATGTTGACTGATTTGTAGATTCTGTCTTGTTGATCATTTTTACTATTTAGAATTCTATCTATCTATTATAGTTTTCAAGATAGGAGCTGCTGTACTTGGCGATCATAATACTGGTATACTGGAATAAAATTTTGTATTGTATTGTACCAGTTTTGTGGTTTTAAAAAAATTATATCAGTTGGAAAAACATAACGAATGAAATATGACAGGACAATTTATAAAAAGTTTGCATGATACGGGTTATGTTCTCGTATATTTTATGATGGTATGATAATAAATCCCTAACGGGAGGGATTGTGCTTGATTTTCATATGATGAAGACATAATCTTTCAATCAGTTTAACTGAGGTCTGGAGCTGGCATGTCAGTAACTGCTAGTAGTCCTTTGTTAATTTATGTTGATCATTGTCGTTTTGCTTAGTTTCTTCTGTAACCTATTCTAACATCGGGTTCGGACTTCCTTTAAACTGAGTTTTACGGTGCGTATTGCTTTGTGTTTGTTTATTCCACATTGGCTAGAGGTATAGGGGGAGGGTTGAGATCTCAAAAAACATGCTTAACCCCGCCGCATTTTAGCGCCTATCCCATGTCAGGAACCTCTGGCCTTTGTTAGTCTTGTATGTTTTTTAAATTTTAGTTCATTTATATGTTTCGGGGTTTAGTGTGACGTCCATTCTCGATGAACTAGTATACATTATTGTTAAGGGGCCAGCTGAAGCCCGCCTCAGGATGCGGGATTTTCTCACTGTGTTGAAGACCCTTAGGTGGCCTTGGACTGTGTTCTGCTCTTTGGTCGGGTTGTTGTCTCTTTGACACATACCTGTTTTCATTCTCAATTTTATCAAAGAACAAAACAAAATAAAATGCTCCGCTGGGCGCAGCTTGATACGACCGCAGAGGTCGAACCCTGAACAGTTGGGGCAAGTATGGACACAACATTCAAGGTTGATACAGCACTGAATTTGGATTGTAATTAAATATTTGACACAGCATAGGTTTCTGACACAGAATGAATGTGGTATAAGAACTTAAAATTTTTTAATTTACCTATTCAAACCATATCATTATTATTTGCTTTTATATATAAATCAGAAATAACCAATTTAAAATGGAAAATTTAAAAAAAAAAAAGGAAAAAAAGGAAACCCCCCCCCCCCAATTTTTTGAACCCCCTTATGATTCATCACCCCAAACTAAATCCCAGCCTTCCATTCGTGGTATGGTACCTTGTAGTACAATTTCAGAGAGATCCATTCACTTGAACACAAGTTATTGTCTGGAAACTAGAAAAATGCTTGTTTTTTTGCCCCTTTTTGGCCCCAAATTCGTAAACGTTTAGGGCAATTACCCCCAAACTCAAACCCAGCTTTCCCTTTGTGACATGGAACCTTGTAGTACAATTTCATAAAGATCCATACACTTACACACAAGTTATTGTCAGGAAACTAGAAAAATGCTTGTTTTTTGCCCCTTATTCCTAAAATTTTGAGGCAATTACCCCCAAAATCTATCCCAGCCTTCCCTTTGTGGTATGGTACCTTGCAGTACAATTTTAGAGAGATCCATACACTTGAACACAAGTTATTGTCTGGAAACTAGAAAAATGCTTATTTTTGGCCCCTTTTTGGCCCCTTATTCCTAAATGTTTTAGGCAATTACCCCCAAACTCAATTCCAGCTTTTCCTTTGTGATATGGAACCTTGTACTACAATTTCATAAAGATCCATACACTTACACACAAGTTATTGACATGAAACTAGAAAAATGCTTGTTTTTTGCCCCTTTTTTGGCCCCTAATTCCTAAAATTTTGAGGCAATTACCCCAAAAATAAATCCCAGCATTCTCTTTGTGATATGGAACCTTGTTGTACAATGTCAGAGAGATCCATACACTAACACACAAGTTATGTCTGGAAGTTACAAAAATGCTTATTGTTGGCCCCTAATTCCTTAACTGTTGGTACCATAACCCCCAAAATCATTCCGAACCTTCCTTTAGTGGTATTGAACCTTATGGTAAAATTTCATAGAGATCCACTCACTTAAATTAAAGTTAGAGTGCGAAAACCAATGTGTCTTCGGACGACGACGACGCCGACGACGAAGACGCCGACGACGAAGACGACGACGACGCCAACGTCATACCAATATACGACCGCAAAATTGTTTTGCGGTCGTATAAATACAAAAAAAAAAAAAACTTTAGTAAGATGGGGACATTGGAACTCTGTTCTTTTATTCTATATGAAAATAAAATGCTCCGCTAGGCGCAGCTGGATACGACCGCAGAGGTCGAACCCTGAGGAGTTGGGGCAAGTATGGACACTACATTTAAGCTTGATACAGCTCAGAATTTGGATTGTGATTAAATAGTTGACACATCATAGGTTTCTGTCACAGAACGAATGTGGTCATAGAACTGAACAATTTGAAATTGGATTTTACCTATTATGGTCCAATATCCAAAATCTAAATACACGGTTAGTTTCAGCATATCCAAGTTCACCAAGAATTTAATTCATTTATTTATTAATGGACCATAATATCTTAGTACACCAAGAATTTAATTTATTTATTTGTTAATGAACAATATAAGCTAAGTTTTTAAAGGGGTTTGTTTCATAAAAAATTATATATTTAACATTCTGAAAATTAATTTACACAGAATAACAAACAAACCTACCACGAAGTTCTTCAAAAAATGTACAAAAAAAGACTAGAGGCTCTAAAGAACCTGTGTCGCTCACCTTGGTCTATGTGCATATGAAACAAAGGACACAGATGGATTCATGACAAAATTGTGTTTTGGTGATGGTGATGTGTTTGTAGATCTTACTTTACTGAACATTCTTGCTCCTTACTTTTATCTCTATCTATAATGAACTTGGCCCGGTAGTTACAGTGGAAAATATTTTGAAAAAATTTACAAAAATTTACAAAATTTATGAAAATTGTAAAAAATTGACTATAAAGGGCAATAACTCCTTAAGGGGTCAATTGACAATTTTGGTCATTTGACTTATTTGTAGATCTAACTTTGCTGTACATAATTGCTGTTTACAGTTTATCTCTATCTATAATAATATTCATGATAATAACCAAAAGCTGCAAAAGTTTCTTAAAATTCACAATTCAGGGGCAGCAACCCAACAACGTGTTGCCTGATTGGTCTGAAAATTTCAGGGCAGATAGATCTTGACCTAATGAACAATTTTATCCTCATCAGATTTGCTCTAATGCTTTGGTTTCAGAGATATGAGCCAAAAACTGCATTTTACCCTATGTACTATTTTTTAGCCATGTCGGCCATCTTGGTTCGCAGGCGGGGTCATCGGACACATTTTTTAAACTAGATACCCTAATGATGATTGTGGACAAGTTTGGTTAAATTTGTCTCAGTAATTTCAGAGGAGAAGATTTTCTAAAAGATTACAAAAAATTACGAAAAATGGTTAAAAATTGACTATAAAGGGCAATAACTCCTTAAGGGGTCAACTGACCATTTTGGTCAAGTTGACTTATTTGTAGATCTTACTTTGCTGAACATTATTGCTGTTTACAGTTTATCTCTATCTATAATAATATTCAAGATAATAACCAAAAACGGCAAAATTTCCTTAAAATTACCAATTCAGGGGCAGCAACCCAATAACGGGTTGTCCGATTCATCTGAAAATTTCAGGGCAGATAGATCTTGACCTGATAAACAATTTTACTCCGTGTCAGATTTGCTCTAAATGCTTTGGTTTCAGAGATATAAGCCAAAATCTACATTTTACCTCTATGTTCTATTTTTAGCCATGGCGGCCATCTTGGTTGGTTGGCCGGGTCGCCGGACACATTTTTTTAACTAGATACCCCAATGATGATTGTGGCCAAGTTTGGTCAAATTTGGCCCAGTAGTTTCAGAGGAGAAGATTTTTGTAAAAGTTAACGACGACGGACGACGACGACGGACGACGACGGACGATAGACGCCAAGTGATGAGAAAAAAAAACAATTTCGAAAATATCATTCATCATTAATACATTGTCTTTAAAATATCTATAAAACTTACCTCTTTTCAAAATATCTAATAATGAACAGTAAATTTCAAACTATATCTATACATAATTTCTAAAATTAGAATATGATGCTATATCTATTTTTAACTATGACTCAACTTAACATTTCTAACAATTGTGCAATACAGCTCTAAATTTAGATTCTGATTAAATACTTGATATAGCAAAGTTTCTGACACAGAATGAATGTGGTTTAAGTACTTAAATAACTTAAAATTAGACATTTACCAATTATTGCCCAATATCCAAATGCTAAGTACATGGTTTGAATCAGCATATCAAAGAACTTCAAGAATTAAATTTTTGAAGAAATCCAACAAAGTTTAATTTGGGACCCTTTCGACCTTAATGTGAAAATATATGATAACAAGACAAAAAATCGAAAATCTACAAGCACATCAAAACTCAGTATATTAAAGAACCCCATTTAATCCTTTTTTGTTAAAATCAAACGAAGTTTAATTTTGGACCCCAATTTCAACCAACTTGAAAACTGTGCCCAAAATCAAAAATTTAATTATATGCTTGAGTCAGCATGTTACAGAATCCCAAGAATTATTTTTTGTTAAAATCAAACTAAGTTTAATTTTGGATACTTTGGACCTTAATGTGGACTAGTATGAAAAACGGGCCTAAAATT